CGCATTTTTAAAGAGAATAACTTTATGGGTTTCATTTATTATAGAACGGAATTTATGGCTCCAGGTTATCTTGCTATAGCTATGCGTTAAATAATTCGTGATTTTCCTAATTTATGTCCAGATTTTTATTTTAAGGCGTTGCACCGCTTACGAGTGAAAGTCGCAGCGGAATTGGATGCGTGCACTAAAGCCAAATACGAAATATTAATCCGTGGAATCTTCCGAATTTTCTTCAGTCCTGCGTGGGAAAGAGGCCCATTGTCTGGTAGGGGTGAGTCATTTTTATTGTATTTCTATCCCTATTCGTTTTTCAGCTTCCGGTGAGACATTGTTTAAGTAGCTGTGCCGCATTGTAAATTAATTAGAGTAACAGATGACTAGAGGGGGTATGATAATTTTTTGTGTGGCATGGATGTTTTAGGAATTTTGCGGCAAAAATTCTGTAATTTTATAATGAAATGTGACTTTTAATAACTTTTGGTAATAGTTGTGAGAGTGCGGGCTTAAGCTAGGCTAGAACTACAGATCAGGATAATGGACTCGAATGTGGCTGTATAACTAGTTTACATAATTTTTGATAGTTCCCCATGAACTGAACTATCACTATCTGATGATCTATTCAAATCTAGAACACCTTTGTTGCTGGTACTTTCAACTGATCGAGAATATTGTAGAGGAAAATATTCTAGAGTCAGTCTTTAGGAACGAATCTAGCAATGGTTCCATAAATGCTTTTCAAGGCTGGCTGACTGTTTTATATCACTTATTTTCAGTCTTTGCGTTGTTGGTTAACCACCTTCTGTTTTTTCTCCTTGACTTCTACGAAATTGAACTGCATCACAAAGTTTTATGAATTACTAGTTTGAGTTTCTTTCCTAGTCGCACTAGGTTCTAAAATGGTGCATCAATTAGCAGTTCTGCTTTCTTCTTCCATTTGTAATAACAGTAACCTAATTATTTGTTATAGCTGGTTTATGCAAATAGGTAAATTTGGCCAGTATTCTCTTTTTGCTGATTAGTATCTCGTTTGTGTAGTTAAACTTTTGCGACAAGGGGTGTTATGCTTTTTTAAAAGTAAATTTTTAGTATTTTACCTCTGCCGACATATCTTTCAAATTTTGATAGAGAAGACGCGTGAGTTTCTCCTTTCCTGAGTCTCCTGTGCATGGCTTATTATGTGCTTTATGCTCTTCTTCACGAAAACTTGTCATTTTGTCAAATGATGCAAGCTTGTCATTTTGTTGATTGATGCAAGGGGGAGTAGTTGTGAATAGCGGCAATCTTGTGCTTTCAAATCTCCCAGGCTTCTGTGTTGCGTATCCTAAGGTGAAGTTTGTATACTGGTGTTTTGTTAGGATTTTTGGGG